CTACCAATTTAGTTTGGACTTCTGGAGCTTTAAAGCGAGCATGTGGTGGTAGGTTTTTTGCAACATTCTGAATTCCTTGACGTCTTTCTGGAGGTGGTATCTGTCCTGAATTTCATGTACACAGTGTAAAACCGATTTGTGCTTTATTCTTTGTTTGGATTCCCAGTTTTCTACAAGATGTCTATTAGATGGTTACGATTTTTCCTAACGCATCTTTCATGAATTTCTAAAGTGGCTTTTTCTCTCCGCAACCCGAGGGGTTCCACATTTGTATGGATTTCACATGCAGCAGTTGGTGTAGACTGCATAGCTCCGCAGATTAATCGGAGGGCATTATTTTGTACTCGTGTCAAGAGTCTCTAGGTTAGTTTTGGAACAAGTTGTAAGCAGTGAGTTGTTGTACTCTATCACAGAGCGAACATATCCTAGGTATAAGCCCCTCAGAGTTTCCTTGTCTGATCCCCATGATGTACCTGCAAGTCTCTTTAATAACTGTAACCGCCTCAACGCCTTATCGATGTTTTCAATATGGTTCTTGAGGCTGAGCTGCGGGTCAAGTGTGACTCCAAGGGTGTGTGGGATGCTCTGTCTTTCATCACTTGGTGTTTGTCTAACCTCAGGTTAATATTCTTCCTTGCTACTTGGTGGCTTTTGGTAAAGATTGTGTAGACCGTCTTTGCACAGTTAATCTTGAGTTTCCATCTTTGGCAGTAATCATGCAGTCTTCTAAGGTCTCCATTCAGTCTTTGGGCTCCACTTTCCACATTTTCATGACTCTGCCATATTGCTAGGTCATCAGCGTACAAGGCTTTTTCGGCCTTGATTTGTTCTGGCAGGTCATTGATAAAGATTAGTACAGTCAACATATAAAATCTCACAGGTTGTAGTGAATCTCATTTTCTCCCAGTTAATTTATGCCCGACAGATGACGTCAGTAATAAATGTGAGTGGAATATTTTGACTCTAACTGGGACGACACGGGGATTGCTGAGTCTGAACTTCACGGGAGTTACAGAACAAGGCTGATAGTCAAACTTTGTGCGAAGCATAATTGTTCACGTGAATAGAAACGTTGACAGTCGAACTTCATGTGAAGTACGAGGAATCATGGAGAATTCGGGAAAAACGAAGCGGGGCATTAGAAGGCTATACAATACCGTAAAAAGGGCTGAGGGGCAGTCTCGTTTGGGCCCAGGAACAGAGTGCATGGACAACGATGGAAGATGTGTGGATTCAATATGTGTTGAGTGAATTTGTTCTAGTCCAACTTGGCAAAAAAGCTGGCGGGCAAGATGTCTGCGGGCCCAGTTAATTTTTCTGTCAGGACAGCTGTTGTGTTGTCGTTCATTATGATAGTGTAGGACGATTGTGATTTCGAACAGAAGGTAATAGATACTTTTGATATTTGAGTTATAATGTGTGCCTGGACAGTAGTCTATTTCATGTGCCGGCTGTGTAAGCCGATTAAATTGCTGAACAGTATCGTGTTGTTTTCCCAGTCGTCCATTTTCTGCTCGTCGTGTGATGTCGGTATGTGAGATTGCAGCGAGCGTGCGATGATGCGAGCCAGGTAGAAGATAAAAGAAAGTCATCGCACGAATGAGAGCTCGTCCAAACAATTGAGGAGAGGAAATTTGTATCGTACAGTGAAATCTGAAACATCGGAAAGGAGTTTTGTTATTGGCCTGACGTCGGGTAGAACCAGTTCAATATAGGAACGTAAGCGGGGAAGATTGACGGCAATAACGACACCCCATGTCCGATTGTGTACAGAATTGAACAACGTTGGAACAAATTCCAGGCTTTCAACACTAGTAGATAAGTCCACGATTCAAGTTTTCGGCCAGTTAACCAACAAGAAGCAAAGGAAATATTGTAGATAGTGACAGTGGGCTGACAGTGGCAAGGAGCAGTCATCGATGGTAGCAATGGAAAAATAACAGTAAGTCTACGCATAGATGACGTGAGACTAGGACTGTACCTCTACAACACTTCCGAAGCCCTGTGGTTTAGTCAAAATTTGTTGCCGACTAAGGTGTGGTAAAGTGCAGTTGAAATTTGCACCTAGCAACACAAGAAAGTGTCGACACCAGATCCTGCTTTCGGATCTGCTTTCAAAAAGTACAAGGACAGTTACAACACTGGGTAGTGTGTTGACTGGAAACGGAGATCAAAAGAACCACCGCTCTGACACTGGGTATGTGTGTCACAGCTCCACATTATCAACCGTGGCAAACAATTTGGTAGGAAACTACAGTACGAGAAGCCTACGATACCTCAAGATCGGCACTCATTGATGTCTCATGATCAACATTCACCAATACCTCAAGCTCATCGTATAATAATCGTCCAAAACACAAGAAAGCGATAATAATTAAGCTTTCCTACGCCCTAAACACATTCAGCCAACAGGAAAACTATCTAAATAGTCTGTGCAAATCTAAGTATTGATTTCAGTGTCTACAGTTAGCAGTAAACTATTTAAGTGTGTAGTTAGCAGTCAACTATTTAAGTGTGTAGTTAGCAGTCAACTATTTAAGTGTGTAGTTAGCAGTGAACTATTTAAGTGTGTAGTTAGCAGTCAACTATTTAAGTGTTTACAGTTAGCAGTGAACTATTTAAGTGTGTAGTTAGCAGTGAACTATTTAAGTGTGTAGTTAGCAGTCAACTATTTAAGTGTCTACAGTTAGCAGTGAACTATTTAAGTGTGTAGTTAGCAGTGAACTATTTAAGTGTGTAGTTAGCAGTCAACTATTTAAGTGTCTACAGTTAGCAGTGAACTATTTAAGTGTGTAGTTAGCAGTCAACTATTTAAGTGTGTAGTTAGCAGTAAACTATTTAAGTGTGTAGTTAGCAGTGAACTATTTAAGTGTGTAGTTAGCAGTGAACTATTTAAGTGTGTAGTTAGCAGTAAACTATTTAAGTGTTTACAGTTAGCAGTGAACTATTTAAGTGTGTAGTTAGCAGTCAACTATTTAAGTGTGTAGTTGGCAGTGAACTATTTAAGTGTGTAGTTAGCAGTAAACTATTTAAGTGTTTACAGTTAGCAGTGAACTATTTAAGTGTCTAGTTAGCAGTCAACTATTTAAGTGTGTAGTTAGCAGTGAACTATTTAAGTGTGTAGTTAGCAGTAAAATATTTAAGTTGTCTACAGTTAGCAGTGAACTATTTAAGTGTGTAGTTAGCAGTAAAATATTTAAGTTTCTACAGTTAGCAGTGAACTATTTAAGTGTGTAGTTAGCAGTGAACTAGTCATAGCATGCTATAATAATAGTACTAGTACACAACAGAAAATAAAAAGCACATACATTGATCAATATCCAGTTTGTACAACTAGTAGTACATTGAACATTACCACGAACAGTATGCAGACTGTAACAAGTACTTCATTGAACATCTCCATAATCAGTATAATAAGTACTAGAGCGTACAAATAAAGTGTGTAGTCATAATTACCTCTATCAAATTAACATAATTTCCTTCAATATTTTAAAAGTAGCAGTAGAAAGTGCAACTGACAAGCTTCATCTGAACAACTGTCAAGAAAGCAAGTCATCGCAGCAGCAGCAGCAGCTTCAGAACAGACAACTAGATCAGCACAAGAAGATACAGCATAGATTAATAATTCTATTTTAATTTATTTTTCTGGTGATTCAATTATAGATTATCATTATCAATATTATTTATTTATATTTTACATTAGGGCAGTCAGTGACATTTAATTTATTTATTAATATTATTATTTTACATTGGTGTATTTGGTATTATTTTGCATTTTCTACTATTGTTGACATTATTTTTTTTTTTAATTTTATGAAAAACTTCAAATTAAAGTGAAATTCTATTTTTTCATTTTTACAAAAGTGCTCCAAGCAGATTGGAAGTTAGGTGCCATCATCATCAGGGACGGCCATAAGTAGTCATACCTAATTAATAAACTACCAAAATATTATTTAAATTATTGTTATTCAGTGTTGAAATATCAATTATTATTTTATTAATATAATATCATACATCATCATCAAGTGTCATGATTTAATAGTTTAATCCATAATTTAATAGTAAATTCCCTCTACATCCCTTAAGAAAATATCAGTTATTAATTATTTAATTAACAGATCATATAAACATCATAGAGTATCAAAAGTTATTTTAATTTTGAATTTCACATTTGATTCACATTTCATCATCATCAGGTGTAGCCACTATAACCAAGGTACAGTTGTGGGTAATAGAAAGTTTGGGTTATACCAAGAAAATAATTTAATCACTGGTGATTTAACATTTGATTGGGGAAAGGTCATTGTAGTATTAGTTGTTGGTACATTCATTGATTGAACACCATATCTTTTTTTTAGTCTGTATTAATTAATATTGTTGATTTATAATATTGTAAAAAAATTTATTGGTGGATAGGAATTATTTTATCAATATCACTTGAACTCGTATGTTGCAAGTTGACTTCATATATATTGTAACTGAGTTTTTCTTCATTGAAAGTGAATTTAATAAGCATCATACTGAATAAATTTATTTATTACCTGTCGATACTAGTTATTAAGTAAAATAATTTAATTATTTAAAATTATTGGTGATTATTCTGTCACAGCCTAATATCAAGATTAAGTCATTCAAATATTTTTGAATAGTAATTTCATTTAAAGAGTATTTAATTATAAACAGACTATACAGTCATTAAAAATAAAGACATTTTTTTAATTGAAAATATTTCGCAAGGTATAGTCAAGTCTTAAACTTTGTAACCAACTACTGTACTACACAGGTGTCAGCACAGACAATCTTACTTGTACAGTCAACACATAAAATCTCACAGGTGATGTCAGCACAGACAATCTTACTTGTACAGTCAACACATAAAATCTCCCAAGTGGAGTCAGCACAGACTATCTTACTTGTACAGTTAACACATAAAATCTCCCAAGTGGAGACAGCACAATCTTACTTGTACAGTCAGCACAGAAAATCTCAGCTCTCAGAATTCATTTCTTTTTTCCCATGCAGCGACAAGAGAACTTCCTGCCCTTTTCCTTCTCTGGCCAGACTGGCTTCATACTGTGCGCTTTTTTCAGTGTTGTCTTGGGATGTGGAGAGACCTCATAGCGCTCACACAGTGTCCGAGGAGGTAGCGCCTGCACCAAGATAGGACAGTTCTCCACGTATTTTTTGATGGTGTCAGGTGTGAATGATGCGAACTCTCGGACGGTGCTGACAAGGTGGCCCCGGGAGAACAGTTTGAACGACGGCAAGGAGTCCACTCCCACAGAATCGCAGAGATCTTTGTTTGTTGGACAGTCAACGCTTCCGAAACCGCTCATGGGTCTTTGTGTTATCTTTGCTGCCTGGAAAAGGGACACTCAAGTTCTGTTATTGCTCAAATCAAGTTCATCTAATACACTGACTCTTGTTATAAAGGCACATCATCTGTAATTAACCTTGCATTTTCTTGCCACTCATTATATACAAATAATATATGTATATAGTATATATATATATATATATATATATATATATATATATATATATATATATATATATATATATATATATATATATATATATATATATATATATATATATATATATATATATGAATTAACCAGTACACTTCTAGACACCAAATCAAAGTACATAAAAAATTTTTACTCTGAGTACCACACCTCCAGATAAAAGCTAGCGAGCATTCCCAGTACCATAATTCCAAGTTCAATGCAGAAACTTATGACACCTACAACTGGAAGGAAGGAAGTATTCACAATACCACAGTGCAACACCTCTAACTGGAAAAAAGAAAGCACTAACTTCACCACAGTGCAACACCTCTAACTGGAAGAAAGAAAACATTTAAATCTCTAAAGTGCCACATCTCTAACTAGAAGGAAGAAAGCATTCACATTACCACAAATGCAACACCTCTAACTGGAAGGAATTAAGCATTCACATTACTACAGGTGCAACACCTCTAACTGGAAGAAAGGAAGCATTCACAGTGCCACACCTCTAACTGGAAGGAAGGAAGCATTCACATTACCACAGTGCCACACGTCTAACTGGAAGGAACGAAGCATTTACAATACCACAGTGCCACACCTCTAACTGGAAGGAAGGAAGCATTCACATTACCACAGTGCCACACCTCTAACTGGAAGGAAGAAAGCATTAACATTACCACAGTGAAACACGTCAAGCTGAAAATAAGGAAGCATTCACATTATCACAGTGCCACACCTCTAACTGGAAGGAAGAAAGCATTAATATTAATACAGTGCTACACCTCTAACTGGAAGGAGAGAAGCATTCACAATACCACAGTGCAACACCTCTAACTGGAAGGAAGGAAGCATTCACATTACCACAGTGCCTCACCTCTAACTGGAAGGAAGAAAGCATTCACAATACCACAGTGCCTCACCTCTAGCTGGAAGGAAGGAAGCATTCACATTACCACAGTGCCTCACCTCTAGCTGGAAGGAAGAAAGCATTCACATTACCACACTGCCTCACCTCTAACTGGGAGGAAGAAAGTATTCACATTACCACAGTGCAAAACTCTAACTGGAAGGAACAAAGCATTCACATTACCACAGTGCCTCTACTATAACTGGAAGAAAGAAAGCATTCACATTACCATAGTGCCACATCTCTAACTGGAAGGAAAGAGGCATTCACATTACCACAGTGCCACACCTCTAACTGAAGGAAGAAAGCCTTCACATTACCACAGTGCCACACCTCTAACTGGAAGAAAGAAAGCATTCACATTACCCCAGTTCAACACCTCTAGCTGGAAGAAAGAAAGCATTCACAGTGCCACTCCTCTAACTGAAATGAAGGAAGCATTCACAATACCACAGTGCCACACCTCTAACTGGAAGGAAGGAAGCATTCACATTACGACAGAGCCACACCTCTAACTGGAAGGAAGGAAGCATTCACAATACCACAGTGCCACACCTCTAACTGTAAGGAAGAAAGCATTCACATTACCACAGTGCAACACCTCTAACTGGAAGGAAGGAATCATTTACATTACCATAGTGCCTCACCTCTAGCTGGAAGGAAGGAAGCATTCACATTACCACAGTGTTACACCTCTAATTGGAAGGAAGGAAGCATTCACATTACCACAGTGCTACATCTCTAACTGGAAGGAAGAATGCATTCACATTACCACAGTGCCACACCTCTAGCTGGAAGGAAAGAAGCATTCACTTTACCACAGTGCCTCACCTCTAGCTGGGAGGAAGAAAGCATTCACATTACCACAGTGCAACACCTCTAACCGGAAGAAAGAAGGTATTCACATTACCACAGTGCTACACCTCTAACTGGAAGGAAGGAAGCCTTCACATTACCATAGTGCTACATCTCTAACTGGAAGGAAGAATGCATTCACATTACCCTAGTGCCTCAATTCTAACTGGAAGGAAGGAAGCATTCACATTAACACAGTGCCTCACCTCTAACTGGAAGGAAGAAAGCATTCTTATTACCACAGTGTAACACCTCTAACTGGAAGGAAGAAAGCATTCACATAACCACAGTGCCTTACCTCTAACTGGAAGGAAGAAAGCATTCACATAACCACAGTGCCACACCTCTAACTGGAAGGAAAGAAGCATTCACATAACCACAGTGCCTTACCTCTAATTGGAAGAAAGAAAGCATTCACATTACCAAAGTGCCTTACCTCTAACTGGAAGGAAGGAAGCATTCAACTTACCACGTGCCTCACCTCTAACTGGAAGGAAGGAAGCATTCAACTTACCACAGTGCCTTACCTCCAACTGGAAGGAAGGAAGCATTCAACTTACCACAGTGCCTCACCTCTAACTGGAAGGAAGGAAGCATTCAACTTACCACGTCTAATAATCAACCGTTTAAGGATCTAAGCTCGTTAGAGGCCCATTTGATTCAAGTGTTAGTAAAACCAATTTAACATCAGTGATAAACTTTATTTGAAATGATATGCAACAACAGTATCAGGAAGCATATGCCAAATCGCCTATCTTTGCTCCAAAGCACTAGAAAACTGGAGCAAAATTTACCCAAACATTATAACAAGTCCCTGCTACTACCTCCTAAACAAATATCATGCAAACGTCGGTACATGAGTGGGATATCTCTGAAGAATATACTAGCAGCAAATCCACACTTCCCTACCAGTCGTCTCCACAACCTTTAGCTGGTAACCTGCATCCACACACAACAACTAAGGAGGCTTCTCTGATCAAGTCTGTTTCTGGGCAGGTTTGCTCATTCCCAAACCTACCCGTTCAGTTCGTGAAAATCACTTCTGCCACGCTAAACGATGAGCAAAGGCTCAGCCCTATTCTATGGAACTACAAGTTCTGAGACCTTCCCCAAAGTCTTAGATGGTATTCTGAGCTGCCGCCGCCCAATTTTTATTCATGCTAGTTAATAATCACCAGATACTAACTGTCCCATTAATATTCATACGTTCATGTTCCAATCCCCTTCAGTACATTATCATTCAGTCCGTCTATTTCTCTCAGTATTTATGTGGATACAAGTGACACATAGCAACATCCAGCCCTCCAACTGGAAGATAGACACCATTTACAGTATCACACAACCACAGTTCTAACTGGGCGGTAGAAACCATTTACAGTACAACACTACCACACTTCAAACTGGAAGGTAGAAACCATTTACAGTACAAAACTACCACACTTCAAACTGGAAGGTAGAAACTATTTACAGTACAAAACTACCACACTTCAAACTGGAAGGTAGAAACCATTTACAGTACAAAACTACCACACTTCAAACTGGAAGGTAGAAACTATTTACAGTACAAAACTACCACACTTCAAACTGGAAGGTAGAAACCATTTACAGTACAAAACTACCACATTTCAAACTGGAAGGTAGGGATGACTTACAGAACCACACCATAACATCACTTCCACGCCCCATACTTCACCACCACGCCCCATACTTCACCACCACGCCCCATACTTCACCACCACGCCCCATACTTCACCACCACGCCCCATACTTCACCACCACGCCCCATACTTCATCACCACGCCCCATACTTCACCACCACGCCCCATACTTCACCACCACGCCCATACTTCACCACCACGCCCCATACTTCACACACCACGCACCATACTTCACCACCACGCCCTATACTTCACCACCCACGCCCCATACTTCACCACCACGCCCCATACTTCACCACCACGCCCCATACTTCACCACCACGCCCCATACTTCATCACACGCCCCATACTTCACCACCACGCCCCATACTTCACCGCCACGCCCCATACTTCACCACCACGCCCCATACTTCACCACCACGCCCCATACTTCACCACCACGCCCTATACTTCACCACCACGCCCCATACTTCACCACCACGCCCCATACTTCACCACCACGCCCCATACTTCACCACCACGCACCACATTAACACATTCACACCACACCTAACACCTCACCTAACACCTTGTATCCACACTTATAATACTTCACCACCACACCTCGAACTAGCAAGTATAGATATTTCACGGTACCACACTTCCACACCTCACTTGCACACCACACCACATTTTCACCCCTCATTTGCACACCTCACCTGCACTCCACACCACATTTTTACCACTCATTTCGACACCTCATCTGCACACCACAACACATTTTCACCCAACACTTCCACACCTCACATGGACACCACAACACATTTACACCCCACACTTCCACTCCTCACCCGCACACAAGAACACATTTTTACCCCACACTTCCACACCTCATCTACACACCACAACACATTTTCACCACACACTTCCACAAATAACCTGCACATCACAACACATTTTCACCCAACACTTCCACACCTCACCTTCACACCACAACACATTTCCAGCCCACATTTCCACACCTCACCTACACACCACACCACATTTCCACCCCACATTTTCCACACCTCACCTGCACACCACAACACATTTTTACCCCACACTTCCACACCTCACCTGCACACCACAACACATTTACACCCCACACTTCCATTCGAAACGTCAATACCGGTGATCAGTTAGTAACACTCACCTTAATTATATTTTCTTTAGCGACTTCTGTGGCTGGGAGAAAGCGATCATAGAACAACACTAAGGCGACATCGTTTCTGCTGATAAATTCCTCATATTGATCATCTTCCAGCTGAGTGATGTTATCCGACGGCTCGAACACACTGAACCTGTAATTATCTTCCCATCCTTCATTGAGACCGATCCTGGAATTTCGTTTTAAATTTCTGGACGTACGATACGAGTCGGCCATGGCTTACAGAGAGACCGCTGGAAGTAGATCTGCTGGGGCAGGTGGGTGGAGAAGGGAGTTCAGGACTGGGGGCTGTTGTTTTAGTGCTGGTCTGAAGCGGCTGTAGGAAAAGTCCCAAGAAGAGTGCAAGAAGTGATACGTCACTTGTATCACGTCAAAGTACTTCCGGTTAATGTTTACCGACTTCACACAAAAATGTGGATCACCAGGGGAACCAGCCTGGCCATAGGAGAGGAAAACACCAAATAGTCCCTCAGCCACAAATGACCTATTATACGTCTATGTTAGTTGCCCAGCATATCTATTTTTTTTTTTGTCTGCGGTCCATCCAGCTGTAGCAACAATTCTATTTCTCAATTGTTTCTTCAATTCCTTTTGTCTGATGGTGTACTTTTTCTTTTACGATCACTTGTCAAGTGCTTAATCAATTGTGCGCCATACACAAGAATGTCATCTGTTGGTCTCTTAGCCCCCCCCCCCCTTCCCCCCAAAGCTGTGTGTGGTCGCGGAGGCTAATTCTAAACCTGTATGAAGTGTGGGATCGAGTCTCTCTTTCACCTGATTGTTACCAAACGTCCAGGTGCCACAGCTGGAATAAATATGTGCTCATGGTCATTAAATTACCCATATATGTTGATTGCTCTCCTCACACATACAACAGAAAAATCGACTGTCAGATTCGGTATCTGCTGACAAATTTTAATCGAGGTAGCTCTCTACACATTCGCAGTCTCCTGCTGACGTGATTCTGTCTTCTCGGATAGTGGGCAGCCGCGATCAAAACATTGTGAGGGCAGGGTGGACAAGGCTGCCAAAACTGTCGGGGATTATCCTGCACTGACATAGCACAACTATATACACTAACTCAGCTAACTAACTAACTAACTAACTAACTAACTAACTAACTAACTAACTAACTAACTAACTAACTAACTAACTAACTAACTAACTAACTAACTAACTAACTAACTAACTAACTAACTAACTAACTAACTAACTAACTAACTATATACACTACACCGTCTCACAGTAGACGAGTTCCATCAGTAGGGAGACTTTGCTGGCTGTTGACAAGGGATGCAGGGCTACTGCTAGCTTCTCTTGACGGATGTGAAATAGATGCAGTGTGTACACAGTATACTCCAAATGACTATTCCGGCCTAAGTGATGTGATTTATCTATAAGCGACCAATATGTGATGAGAAGCGAAAGAAGTGCATGGGGATTTATTGCAACAGCGAATAGACGCCGCCTAGTGCAGCAGAGCCTTGGATATGATATATAACAATGTCTGGTTAGAGAATGGAGGTAGAGGCGGTTACCTCAGCCTTCTGTTAGCCTGAGAATCAGCTGCCCATATATGTTGTGATTGTGATTGAATCACAGAGCAAACCGAGACATGTGGAGACCGGTATTCTCCCTGCAGAGTGGCACATATCGCTTTGGAACACCAGGGCAATTGGTATCAGCTGGAAATTTTCTCCAGGTAATGCAGCTGTGTTGGGAAACGAACAGACAGACAGGCTGGCAGGTTGTGAGCCACTAGAGGGTAAGTTGATGCACGACAACCTAGGTGTAGTCACACCAGTTTAGGGGAGAGTAAAACCCGTGCCAAGGCACACTTAGACTAACACGGTCTGAAACAAATAGTGCAACGGAGAGTCACCAGGGGATCTAACCGACAATCCACACTAATTTTTTCTAACTGGTTAGTTGCGAATCCTTTACAGGACGTTGCAGAACCAACACTAACAGCCACTGGCTGTTGTGTGGTTTTTCTAGGCAAATTTACGTCCAGTAGTTTGCCATTATTATTATAAATAACACATGACAATGGAGACTAAACTAGAAGTGTCCCAATGACTGTCGGCAAGATATTCCGAGAAACAAATGGCTAATTTCCATCTAGGTTCCTCTATACAAGCATTAGTGCTACATTGCAAAAATGTGTTAGGTGGCAGTACTGGTACACAAATGGTTGCTAAATCTGGCAGAAGTTCGCCACAAGGGTCTGCATAACAAACTGACATCTTTTGTGACGCGTTCAGAAGTGATTGATGGTACCGACTGAAAGGAAACGGAATGCGGAATGGCAGGAGACTAACACAATGCTGGGAGACATGTCAACCGGAGAAGATAAACACCGTACAAGATCACAGAATGTTCTGCCTAAGGTCAACTACAGTGAAAAGACAACATGCGAATGGTAGGATAATCGGAAGACAACCTAGGGATGTTAGAATCAAAAGCCAACATCGGGGTGTTTGAGTAAAAAGACAACTTGGGGTGTTTAAGTCGGAAGACAACCTAGGGGTGTTTGAGTAAAATGACACCCTAGGGGTGATTGAGTCAGAAGACAACCTAAAAAAAGGTGGTTTGAGTCAGAAGACAACACCTATCGGGGTGATTTGAGTCAACCAAGACAACAGTGCGGGGTTTGTTTGAGTCAGAAGACAACCTAGGGGTGATTGAGTCAGAAGACAACATCGGGGTGTTTGAGTCAGAAGACAACATCGGGGTGTTTGAGTCAGAAGACAACATCGGGGTGTTTGAGTCAGAAGACAACATCGGGGTGTTTGAGTCAGAAGACAACATCGGGGTGTTAGTATCAGAAGATAAAGTCGAGGTGTTAGAATCAGAAAACAACATTAGGGTGTTTAAATAAGAAGAAAACCTAGGGGTGTTAGAATCAGAAGACACAATCGGTATGTGAGAATAGGAAGACAACATCGGACTGTAAGAATAAGAAGACAACATCAGGATGTTAGAATCAGAAAACAAAATCAAGGTGTTTGAATCAGAAGACGACATTGGGTTGTTTCAGTCAAAAGACAACATCAGGGTGTTTGAATCAAAAGACACGGATATTGTGATCAGACGACAACAACTGGATGTATTAAGATCAGAAGAAAAAATCCTGATGTTATGGTCAGAAGACGACATCCTGATGTTATGGTCAGAAGACAACTTCCCAGTAATGTTCATGTTACCTGCAAACATAAAGCGAAACGTCCCTGGACAACATCCAATGTATGTGCCATGCCAATAAGAGCAGTCTGTCATGTTTTTCCTTCTCACACAAACCCCAGAATCACATCAATGATATTGTCTGGCAAGAACCATTTGACTGAGTCCCTGTAAAATTATGGTTTCACATGTTTTCAACAGCCATTAATCCTCACCCAACGTATTACACATACATAACACCCACAAAGAGCAAACTATGGTTTATCATTTTCTTTCCAACTCATTTCACCTCCATTCTCACAAGTCCTCAAGAATCCGAATCACATCAATGACTGTCTGTGCTTAGCGCTTTCATGGCAGTACAGAACTGGGTGATCGACAGCCTGAGGATGTAAGGTCTCATTGCTAGTGTTGTCGCCACGCACTGTGCAGGTTAGCATGTTTAGTTTTGACGTGGACGAAAAACGTCTATCACATTCCGGGGGCTGGAACCCGGGTCTCTCACAGGAGAGTCTGTGTTTGTAACCGATGGTCACTTTTCCTCTATCATTCCCTGACCTTCTATGCATTCTTGCACTCGGTGAATGAGAGTCGTAGTGGTCTGGCGACTACACGCTCGCCTGCGCCCCTGAAGATCGTGGGTTCAGATCCTGTTGGAGCCGGACTTTGGTCCACAATTACTCTGGTTCCTATTTCGACCCACCCATAAATGGATATCAGGTAAAATCCTGGACAGTAAAGATGGCTGGCAGACTACATCACCCTCGAAGTGCCGACTAGTCTCTATAATTTAGATCTAGCCCTCTGTGCCCAATAGGCGGGAAGACGTAAAATAGGGTCCTTTACATTACAGCAGAAACATCTTTTTCAGCATGTCTAATTTTTTGCCTCGTCTCAACCCAGATCGCAAGAACGTCACTACAGCAGTCTGAACAACATGGCCACATAGGTTCACGAGCATAGAACGCAAAGAAAACTTTAATCTCGTCAGTAAATTAGAAACATCATTTTATTACCATCATTTGATTGTCCCAACGTTTGTTTCACGCCGCATTGACACGGCAGTGCTTTTCTTTGCGCTCACTCATCTGTTACTTAGGCTGATTGTCTTATCTTTCAGTTTCACAGCTAAGTTGTGTCGTTTCTAGTTAGTTGCAGTGGTGGCTAATGTATGTGCGTGGCAGCCAGATCACCAAGGACACACACACACACAGACACACTTAAACATATCCAATTTAGTGTACACGGGAACACACACATAGAAGCCTGCGCGTGTACTTTCTTTGTTTGTGTAATTTACATGATACATTGTTATGATTGATCACGTTTTAGAACAACAAATTTACAGCCGACGTTTGACTGATGTTGTGGCTCAGCACTGTTGATATCCCCTTGCTCTGAATGACATGTTTCCAGATGGTTTCACTGTGTGATGTTCGTGTGACAATGTTGGTACTTGAAGGTGATGTTAACATACGACTGTAACGACTACTCCCTAAGGTGTATGGCTGTAACATTTGTCGGCAGATATCAGAAATGTTTTGATGTTGATGTAACAAATATTGACAGGACACACAGCTGTGGACACAGCCCATCTCGATGCACACCTGCCGATAGCATCGAGGCAATGACTCAATGGTGTGACACTCGCTCCGTCTATTCCTCCTCGATTTGAAAGCTATGTTCCAACTTCCGGAACAAACAGAGCACAACAGTCTTCACAATGAGCCATTCCATCTTACACAGGACAGGAATCCATCTGCAATTAATAGACAGGCATTCAAAACTGCGCTAGCATATATTTCTTAAAAATTAAAAACAGATTTGACGAATCATCTGAAGATTCTGCTGCCAAAATTTCCAGCGAGGGAAGAAACGTCTGCTTAAAGTTTAAGGAACGAGAACTCTCAGTCTAATAAAAGTAGTTAATCGAGCGCCCGTGTCGCTAGGCGGGGTTTGCCCCGTTGGTCTCTCTGACCCGCAAAGGATACAGAGCTCCAAAATTCATGGGCTGAATCATAAATTAATACAAT